AGGAAGCGTCCAGCAGTGTGTTCCTTCGGCAGCCTCTGTGCCAGGAGAGCAGCTCCTGCTCCTTATTTTAATACCAGGTGCACTTCTCCAGTGTATTTGTAATTTTCTAAATGTTTAGTAACTTTAATTTCATTTACTGCACGAATAAATGAGCAAATGGGACATATACAAATGTTGGGAAGGAAATTTGCTTAAGTCCCTTCATTAAAAGAACTATGTGTTATTAAAACATCTGTGGTGCAGCGTGCTGATATCACATTAGCAACAGCAATAAGAAATCCTGTTTATCCCTACGAAAGTAGATTTTCAGGGCATGGATCTGGCAGTGTGCTGAGGCTGTAAACCACAGTGCCTGGCAGCATCTCCATTCCCCAGGCAGCCGTGGAGAGTCACAGGGCAGCATTCCATGTCCCAGGCTGGGAGCCTCATCCCGAGGCTGGAAAAGTCTTCCTGCACTGCCCAGCCCCACAGCAGAGCCCATCGGGCAGGGGGAGAGGGAATTGTGCAGGAATTGTGCAGGAATTGTGCAGGAAGGATGCAGGAAGCGCACCTCACTCCCTTCCTGACCATCTCTTCTCTTTCCATCACTTTTCCTTCTGGCAGACGGGATCAAAGCTTGACTGGAGGCCCTGGGGAGAGCCCACCCCGGCTGCTGCACATCCCTGCAGAGCAGGGCCAGGGTGCCGCACCAGGCTCCTCTCAAGCTCAGGTTTCTCCCCGGCTTTTCCAAAGTTGCTCCATGCGCAGAGCCCCGTGAGCGGCAGGGTTTGAATGCTGCAGGGCACAGCCATGGCTGGGACAAAACAAAACCAGCATTCACGGGCGGTCATTGAAATTCCCAGCAGCTGTTCCCTCCCAGCACACTCAGGTCTGCCCTCCTTTGCTGTCCTCAGGCACTTCCAGGGACGTTTTCCTGCGTGGCAGGGGAACAAGTCCACCCATGACCAGCATCCCTCCTCCTCCCGCTCCTGCCTGATTAAAACAAGCCCTGCTGGGGTGGCAGAAGCCTCATAAGGAGCAGCAGGGTGCTCCTCGCTGGCAGGACACCCCACGGTCCCGGCACCCCCAGCCCCTGCCCCGGCTGTCCCGCAGCCGCTCCCTGGCTCCAGCTCACCGCAGTTTCCCCCTGATGCCCCCGAGGCCGAGCCAGGCTGTGGTGCCGGAGGTCTCCAGCACCTCCCCACACGGCTGCAGCGGTGGGAGAGCCCCCGGGACACCGGGAGAAGCCTCAGCGATGGGGCCGCGGTGCAGGAGCTGAGCGCTGCCCCAAGCGCGGCTCACGCCAGGGAGGAATTGCTCGGGCACATGTCCTGGTGTGGTTGGGTTTAACCCCAGCCCTGCCTTGCCGTGGGGCACCGGGGGCAGGCAGGGGCACGCCGGGCACGGCAGCAGGAGCCAGAACACTGCGGTTCCCAGCCGGAGCCTGGCAGGGGAGCCGGGGCTGGAACGCCGCCTGCAGCCCCAGCACGGCTGCGAACACAAATTGAGTTTGGTGGCCTCAATTTAATTCCCATTTGGAGATGGTGGAGGAAAAAAAAAATAATAAGAAAGAGGGAGAAGGAGAGCAGAATCCCGGATGGGCACTGGGATGGAGATGGTGAGCCGCAGACACGTGGGAGGCAGAAAGTGCCGGGGATGAGCCCTGGGGCAAAGGGGGCTGTGCTGGCAGCAGGGATGGGTGGCGCAGGGACAGCAGGAGGGTTCTCACACCCACCGGATGTGCCCAGTTCATGTAGCTGGAGCCACCAGCGTGAGGGTGCAGCGAGCACGGAGCTCCCCCGTGCCGGGAAATCCATGGACTGCCAGGAGAGTGCCCCTCTCTCCCTCCTCTCCTCACCCAGGGCATCCCTGGGCTGGAGCACACCCAGCCAAGGGAAGGCTGGCAGAGGGAAGGTGCCACTTCAAGCCCTCAGGAGCCAGGGCTCCGATTTCAAAAAATAAAGTGAGGTTTTCATCTGTATTTGCTTAGCGAGGTAATGATTTTATTTCTGATTTGATGCTCTTGTTCCTGATGACTCAGGCACCAAAAGGGAAAGCTGATAAGAGTGAAGAGGCCTGGCCAGAGGGATGCTGGTGGCTGCTCTGTGCATGGCATTCCCCACCTGGATCCCTTCCAGGGGATTCCAGAAATGCTGTCAGCTCTGGGAGCTGGGCTGTGGGCATGGGGAGGGCAGCAGCTCGAGGAGGTGAAAGCAGCAGCAGCAGCCAGCCCTGATAAGAGCTGGGCTCTGCCCCGTTATGGCTCTGGGGAAGGCACAAAGAGGAGCACAAGGTATTCCATACTTAGTGTGACCCGCCTGGATCACGCTGTACCTCCGGCTTCATCCACTTTGGGAGAAACAAACCTCTCTGGTGGGGAGGAGAGGAGATATTCCCCCTCCTTGACATCCCTCTTTGCCCACCCCATGCCCCGGGGTGACTGCTGAGGCCTGGTAGGCAGCAAGGAATGTCCCTCCTTGGGGGATTTAATCACTCCCAGAGCAACCCAGCTCCATTTCTCCATTGCCTGAGGTAACTGCTTTAGATTGGGAGGGCAATCCCAGCCCCACTGTACCCAGTTCCCCCCAGCCTGAACAAGAAGCTGGGCAAAAGACACATTTTCTTCGCTGAGGAGGAGGATTCTCCTCTCCCCCAGCACTTGTTCCGAGTTTGGCAGTCCCACAGAGACATGAGCAGAGCTCTGTGCAGCTGGAGGGTTAACATCTCAGCTCTTCCAAATAAATAGAAAATGACCCAGTTTCTTTATTTTCCTTTATCTCCCAAAGTCCAAACACCCAAAAAATGAGATGGTAAGTGGAAGCCACAAATAGATTTCATGTATCCCGGCAGAGCTGGGAGATGAAAGCAGGGAAAACAGCTCCTGCCTCCCCTGCTCAGACCTGGGAATGGTGCAGCACATCTTGCCAGGGGTTAGTTTCCCTCGGTCAACAAGGCAGGAGAGGCGTTGGGTCTGATCCCAGCTCAAATCCTCATCCCTGGGGGAGCAGGCTCTTCCCCGCAAGCTCTCCCCAGTGCTGCTCCCATCTGCCTCGTTCCGAGCATTAAGGTGAGTGGCAGAACGTGCCCAGCCTTCAACTATTCCTATCACGTCCCATCTGGAGACAGAAATCTGCCTGCTGGCTTTACAATTAAAATTGAAATGATTTGATTATGGGGCTTCATTAGTAAAAACAAACACCAGGCAGCCTGCCTCCCTCTCCCCCCACATCCCCGCCCAGCCGTTCCTCCCTGGGGCTGTTTTAGGTAAATCCCAGCCGGGATGCGGTCGGGCTCACAAAAGGCTTCGTGTCTGCAGCTTGTAGCTCCTGTCGGGAGCAGCCTAAGAGAGGCAGATTTGAGACCCACAGATCTCCTCCTTTGGGCAGAGATGAAGGAACAGCCCCCATGGTTTGATGGGCTGCGTGGAGTGCCCGACACGGCCTTGAGGGGAGCAGGATGTTTTCCAAGCCCTGTGTAAATGCTTGGTGATCTTCCCAAGGGGTTCCCACAGCTCTTGGGACTCCTGGCTGGACTCCATCCCCTTCACCCCGTGACTCTTTGCAATGGGGGTGTTTCCACCTGCACATCGACCTGGCCTTGTCACTGCTCGCTCCGTTTTCCTTTTCTGCAGCTGGAGCATCCCGCGGGAAGGGCTGAGCCGGCTGCCCGCGGTGTGTGCAGATGCTCCAGTCCCTAAAGCATTGGCAGTTCTGGGGAAAGCGATTCAATTAACGCTTGGGGCGTTGGGAACAGGCTGTGCAGGCTGGGAGAGGAGGAATGCCAATGAAGGAGGGCTCGGGAATGCTGCTGGGTTAGGGTGCGCTCCCCCGGCTGCTCCCAGGGACTGGTTTTCTCCAGCAGTGACAGGACAAGGGGAATGGTTTCAAACTGACAGAGAGTAGGATTGGGTTAGATATTAGGAAAAAATTGAATTGTCACCAAGCCAGTGGCACTAACAGCATTGCTGTCCTACCCGGGCTTGCCTTGTGGGCTAAATCTTTAACCAGATCAAGGGTTTAATTTTATCAGTAGCTGGAAAAACGTGGCACCACTTCCCTGGGGCAAAGTATCTTGAGTCCTGCAGAAATCCCTGTTCCTGGGCCTCACTCAGCAGCTCCTTTGGCATGGGGACCCTCTGGAGCAGGGAGCACCCTGTGCCCCATGCCAGATCTGGGCTCCTAGCTGCTTTTCCCTCCAAAATCACTGTTTTCACAGCCCCGAGGAGCTGGCACTTCCCCTGGCAGCGTGTGTACCTGGTCATGGATTGCCCTCCTGCTGGGCAGCGCTGGAGGGAAGCCACCACCGGAGCAGAGGGTTCTGTGTCCCCCTGGGGAGCCCCCCAAAATCCCCCTGCTCGCCCCACCAGCTCCCCAGCCCTGGAAAACCTCGCACATCCCCTGCCCACAGCAGGGTGATTGATTATTGTTATTAGAGGTGGAGAACAGTTTCTGTGCACAGCCAGCTGGCTCAGGAGCAATTCGTCACCCACCGGCGGGGGGGGCCGGGCTGTCCCTCTGTCCCTGCCAGGGTGGGAGCTCTGTACAGCCGCAGGAGGCTCCGGGATGGAGCCGGGGCAGGGCTCTGGCAGCGGCTCAGCCGCAGGGCAGGGCTCCCACCTGAGCCGATCCCTGCAGCCCCGGGCATCCCGTGCGATAAGGGGGCGGCACGGCAGCCCCCAGCCCCACGGATCCAGCCCCACGGCAGAGACCCAGCCCAGTTCCACGGCAGCCCCCAGCCCCACGGCAGGGATCCAGCCCATCCCCACGGCACGGACCCCCATCGCGGGGGTGCCCCGCAGAGCTCTGAGGGGCAGGGAGGGGATCCCGGGCCAGGGGGGCTGCAGAGCTGGGCCGGGCCCGGGGGGACACAGCGGGACACGGGGGGACACGGCGGCAGCCGGTGCGGGGGGGCTGTAATGACGGTCCAGCTCAGCAAAGGTAGCAGAGCATGAAAGCAATTTCACACTTTATTAGACAATTCAGGTGCCAGCTGCACCAGCCCGGAGCCAGCGCTGCTGCTCACAGCTCCCCTCCTGCTGCACAGCCCAGGTTCGCTCGGCGTGGGCTCAGCCCCTCCTCGGGCCACGCTGGTCCCGGCTGGCTCTCCCGGGTGCCCGGGCTGCTCCTCGTGGGCCACCACACGGGCGGGTGGCCGGGAGCACTGCGGCACAGGCTGGCTCTGCTCGGAGCCAGCTCAGCCTGGCAGAACTCGAGCTCCCAAAGCCACTCGGGCTGGTTGTGCCCTTCAGCCCAGGGCAGCCACCCTGCTCCTCCTGGCTCCCCGCTCCGACCCTTTGTGTCCTCTGCCTTTCTGTACCCCGGAGGGGCCCGGCATTGGGAGCCTGGGCTCGGGGTTTGCGCGGCAGCTGCTTTTTCTCTCTCCTCCCTGTCCCCGGGGCGCCCCAGCAGAGGCGGTGGGCACACGGACACCTGAGCACCCAGCCATCCTCCTGCCATCCCGGGATGTCACCCTGGACGTGCTTTGTGGCCCCGCAGTGTCCCCAGGGAGCAGCAGACAGGCAGAGCAGAGCCGGAGCGGCCCCGTCCTGGGCTGGCACCCGCGCCTTGGGGACACGGCCGTGCGCTGTCCCAGCCCGATGCTGGACAAGATCCAAATGCCTGCACGTCCAGGATATGAATCAGCCCGGACAGGAGCGCAGCAGCCGCTTCGGGACAAGCGGAGCTGCTCCGGAGGCTGCTCCGGCAGCCAGGCAGCGCCGGTGCCAAATTCCGTGCGGGCTGGCGGGCAGCACAGGCGGCTCCGCTGCCACCTCCAGATCAGCCCCGGGCACGGCAAACCCCTGGCCTGGCATTCGTTTCCCTGTTTGCACGGCTCTGCTCCCCTGGTGCCAAGCCGTGGCACGGTGGCAGCGGGCCAGGGCCGTGCCTAACCTTGACCTGCCCTCGTGGCGAGCAGCCCTGCCCCGCTGTCCCCCCGTGCCCGCGGGCACAGGCATGTTCCGCCGGGCCAGCCAGAGCATTCTTCCCGGGAGAGCCTGTCCTTGACGGGCTATTTAAAGGCACACTTGTGCCCTTTATCCCCACTCATGTTTAGGCTGGAAGAGCCCCGTGCCCTCCCGTGACTCCCAGAGGGCACTTCCAGGCTCAGGGCAGCGGCAGCGCCGGGAATTCACGGGACAAAGGAGGGATGCGGGCAAGTACCAGGCCCCATCCTGGGGACAGACCCCCGGGAAAGGTCCCCTGGCCATCGAGGGTGGCAGCAGGACTGGGGGAACTGCAGAGCCCAGCTCACCCCTCGGGATCCAGAGACTGGAGAAGCCACATGAGCTCATTTCCCTCTTCCCGGCAGGAACCAGCCGCTGCTGGATGTCCTGTGCAGTCCTGAGCACCCCACATCTCCTTCCAGGGGGAAGATCGGGGCCCAGGCAGCAGCGGGCTCAGCACCCCCTGTGCCACTGTCCCCTCGAAGCCTCTGAAGGGCCTCAGGCAGCCGAGGGCTGTGGAGCAGGAGCTGCCCGACTGCCGCCACCGCCTGGCACAGGGCCGATTGCTTGTGCACCCCACGGAGCTGGCAGGAAGGTGACTCGGGAGGGAAACCCGACCTAATGTGATTTGATTAGGGGTGGAAAAATCCAGAGGAGCCATCTGCAGGGAGCTGGAGGGGTGAGCCCTGTGGCTGCAGGCAAGACACACAACCCCTGCTCAACAACCCCCGACCTCCTCATTTTCCCTTTCTGAGGGAAACCATCAGCCTTTCCCCAGGCTGGGAGCATCCCCAGGACATGTCCCCAACCCTGGCACTGCTGTCCCCTCCCAGCTTTGGTGTTGGTGAGCATCTCCTCGGGGCTTTCAATGGCACCTGGGCAGAGGTGGCTGCCCCCCAGCCACCCCACTCTGCCCCAAACCAGCCCTGGGGAGCCTGTGGGGAGCCCGTGGGTGGCCGGGCGTGCTGCTGGCCCCGGGCACGGCAGGGCAGGGCAGGGCAGGGCGCTCGCCAAGCCGCCACGGGCACCTTTGATGCGGGCAGAGCCAGGAGGCCAGGGCAGCCGGGCCGACGCCAGCCGGGAGCTCCACTGCGAGGGATGGGCAGCGTGCGGTGCCAGCCCCGGGGGGCTCCTCGGGTCCCCTCTGGCACCATGGCAGGGCTGCCGTGGGCACGGCTGCCCGCCTCGGCGCCACCAGCATCTCCTGAAAGCGGGGGAAACTGAGGCACGGAGCTGGCACACCTCGGGAATGGTGGGAGGGAGGCTGTCTCCGTTCTCAAACAGAGCCTTAGGTCAGGATCAACACGGATTGATTCTCCCAAAAACCTCTTCCACCCGTCTCGGGGATCTGTGCGGGTCGCAGGGGAACGGGGGGTCCCGGGAGTGGCGATCTCCGTGCCCTGAGCGGTGCGGAACCCCCGCGCTGCGGCCCCGCACTCCCGCACCAAAGCTCCCAGTGCTCCCAGTGCTCCCAGCGCTCCCAGTACGGGCCGGGCGGGCACTGGGAGCAGGTGAGGGGCGCCCTCTGGCGGCCACAGCGCAGCGCTGACACAGGAGCCCAGGTAGCCAAATTCTCAGGTGCCCACCTTCTCAGGTCCTCAGGTAGCAAATGTCTCAGGTACCCAGGTGCCCAGTTTCGCAGGCACTCAGGTGCCCCAGTGCCCAGGTGCCCAGTTTCGCAGGCACTCAGGTGCCCCAGTGCCCAGGTGCTCAGTGCCCAGGTGTCCAGGTGCCCCACGCCTGGCCGAGGACCCCTCTGCAGTGCTGCACCTTTGCTGCTCGGTCCTGCTGTAACCAGGGACGGCGCTGCCTCATCAGCCCCAGCACACGTTTGCCACTTGCAGGGATTTCAGCAAATCCCTGGAAAACTGCAGCCACCTGCCCTCGCTCCCTGGTGCTGCTTTGCTTTGTGCCAACACACACCCGGCACCCTCACAAGTGCCACCCTCATGCCCACGTCCCTGGGCCGTGTCCCCAGGTGCCTCCCACCACCTTCCCAGCCGGGGGCTGCTCCCTGCAGCATCTCCTGTGAGGTGCCCTGGGGTGCCGAGCTGGCTGCTCCCATCCTGTGCCCCTGGTGCGGGCTGGCCGCGCTCACACGGGCAAGCTCCAGCCCGCGGGGTCCTGCACGGGGACCGTCACCAGGTAGCTGGAGGGCACGTAGCCCCTCTGGCCGTTCACCTCCACCAGGCTCCACTCCGTGCTCCCCTTCTTGTCGTGGGGCTCCAGCACCAGCACGGGCTGCCCTGCCTGCAGCGTCACCTCCTGCGGGCTCCTGGCTGCGAAGGAGAAGCCGGCGACCACCTGTGCAAGGCAGGGAAGGAAGGAGGGAGGGAGGAAGCCCTTGCTGGAGCTGGGAGTCAAGGGGGGAAGGATGTGGCAGGACAGGCAGTTCTGAGAGGGCAGCACAGCAGTGGCACGGATGGAGGGATTGGTGACCCACCAAGGACAGTTCTCTTGGCCCGTCCACCCTGGTCCCAGCAAGGAGGACACCTGGAAAAGCAGGTCCACCTCCCCAGCCACACAAGGACCAGCAGGGTGGGGTGGCTGGAAATGACCCCGGGGATGTCCCCCACTCTCACCTGGAATGTTGGGGTGAAGGTGGCCACCTGTGGCCTGGGAGCTTCGGGGGATGCATAGGAATGTCTCCTTCTCTCTGTGCCACTGTCCAGGGGCAGCAGATGCATCCCAGGCTGCTGGGCTTGCACTGGGCTATAGGGCCGGAGCTTTGCAGCAGGAACAAACCCTCGGGGACCTGCAGGACATGGACACACACAGCTCATGGGGCCCTGCACGTGCAGGACCGGCTGGAGGAGACAGGAATGATGTTTTGGCTGTTGCCTGGCATGGCACAGCAGCCCTGCTCAAACTAGTCCATCTCTAGGGGATATTCAGGAGAAATCCCCGCCAAAAAAAGAATTCCAGATCTTTCTGTGTGTGTGGATTCTCCTTTCCCAGCCATGACACTTGAGGAGTGCTCCCTTGGGGGATCAGCCAGGACAGCTGAACCTTACAGCTGATGGCAAAGCTGAGGTGGCCTTGGGCTGGAAGGGAGCAGCCAGGAGACCACGGCCTGCTGTCTCACCCAGGGTAAGGAAATGATTCAGGTGAATCTGGCCCTGGTGCCAAGGTGAGGAGAGGCTGCCCACAGTGCTCACAGTACCTCCAGCATCCACCAGCCACCTGCTCGTGTTGCCCTTGGTGTCGGCGCTCTGCAGCAGAGCCACGATCTGTCCCCTCAGCAAGGTCAGGTCCAAGTCTCTGCTGCCACTGATGTTGCTGGTCACTTGGTAAAGCTTGTCTGGGCCGTGCTTGCTCACCAGGGAAAGGACCTTCCTCTCCTCAGCAGGGGTCAGAGGCTGGTGAGGAGCACGAGACAGAGGAGCATTGGCTGAGACACAGGGGGTACACCTGCTCTCCTTCCTGCAGGATCACAGCCCAGGGACAGGGACAGGAGAAACTCCTTCACACTCCCTGCTCCACCCCCAGGTTTGGAGTGTCCAGAACCAGCAGAGCTGAGCTGTTTCATCCCTGGTTATCCCCAGCCAGCTGCTCTCAGGGGCTTGGGGAAAACACTGTGGCAACCCCCTGGGTGACATTCTGAGCCAGCCTCCCCACCAAGGGGATTTTCTGCACTGGGAAGCCACAGCCCAGTCCCTCTCTTTATCCAGCTGGCCCAAGCCGTGCCCTGCCCAGCCCTACCTGTGCGCCAGGGCTCGGGGTGACGGTCTCAAAGGCCTGGCAGAAGGCACGGAGCTGAGCCCCCGACTGCTGCAGGCTGTCCTCCACCACCTTCCAGAAGCTGGGCAGGGGCATGTGGCCATGGGGCAGCTGTGGAGACAGACTGGCATCAGGGAGGGCCCTGAGAGAGGAAGAGCTCTGGGTAGGGGCAGAAGGGAAGCAGGAGGAAGAAAAAGGGTGGGAAAGCAGAAGACCAGACCTGACCACTAAATTCACCTTGCACAGGGGATCAAAGGTGCTCCTCTCTGGCTTTGAGCTGCGCCTTGTTCTCCCCCTGGTCCTGGCTCAGGCCAGGGCTTTGGACAGCCCTCACTCTCCGTGTTTGCAAACACCAGGCTCAGCAGTGAGGAGCTCTGGGAGACATCTCCCAGGGGATGGGCTTGGGGGAGGCAGTTCCCCAGCCCAGGAGCTGCCTGTCTCCTCCCTGCCTTCCTGGCTCTCAGGAGCTCCGAGTTCACACTGATCTCTCAGACAGCAGCACCTCAATAAATTACCAGTAGTGCCCACAAACAGAAAGCAGAACAGTTTCTGACAGTGCAGAAGAGAAAATTTGGATTTCCCTGGGCAGGAAGGAAGGGAGACTCTTACAAATGCTCCACAGGGAGTTGTGTGTCTGCAAGGGCAGGTTCAGAACTTCAGTGCCCTGATGCTGTCTGAGAGATCTCCCAAACCTGGAGAAGGCAGTTCTAGCTCAGCTCGTGCACCTGAGGGGTCCCACTCACCTGCTCCAGCTCCTTTTGTGCCTGGTGCAGGACCTGGGCAGCCAAGTCCAGCTGCAGGGCGCTGAAGGAGCGCAGGATCTGCCCCAGGAGCTGCACAGCCACCTGGTTGAAGCGGGGGAGCTCGGCCAGCAGCAGGTCATTGATGGCCAGGTAGGTGTTCATGGCTGCCTCCTCATCGTAGCTCACGCTGCCCATCTCGCTCTTCCTCTCCTGGATCTCCTCGTAGTCCAGCAGCTTGTCCAGGCGCTTCTTGACCAGCTGCTGGGGCCCCTCCAGCATGTCTGAGAGGCTGCAGAGGGGCTGCCACACCAACCTGTGCACACGCTGCTTCTGCCAGGTGAGAGCAGCCCCATTTCCACGGGAGCCCGTGGGAGCAGCAGCTGCCAGGGCCAGGGGGAAGGAGGCTGGGGGATGTGGGACACCCTGGGACATCCCCTGGGATGGGGAGCACCTGGGACATCTTTCCCTGAGGGCACATAGGATGCCAACCAATGCAAACCCTTGGGAGGGGGCAGGCATGCCTGACACAATTCCCAGCTTGTGCTCTGTGCAAACAGCTGGGCAGAACCCTGGAATGGCTCAGAGCAGTCTCAGCCAAAGCTCTCCCCACAGCCCTGCCCAGAGCCCATTTAAGGGCCCCGTGCCTTGGGGTGTTCTGGTCTCCTCCCCACCTCCCTGGATGCACATCAGAGGGACACTGCAGCTCATCCCAACCCTGGAAGGGCTCAGGAGCTGTGCTGTCTCTGTCCCTCTGCCCTCCCTTCTCCCCTGGAGCTGCTCCCTCGCTTCATGTGTCAGTGACTGCAGCTGGATCCTGTTACTTGCTGCTGGCTCTGCCTGCTGCCCTGGGGGGGCTGTGAGGACACTGGGCTGCCCTCAGCTCCTGGCTGCCAGCCCCACTGCGGCCTGGCAGAAGGTGTGAGGGCTGAAGGGCACGTGCAGGGAAGGAGAACTCACAAACTCTGGGAAAACGGTGCTCTGGAGGAGCTCTGAGAGGCGGCGGTGCTGCAGGGCAGGTCCCTCGTCCATCTGCAGCTCGCACCGGTGTGGGGTGGGCAGCAGGAACGCCTGCAAGGGGGGAAGCATCACGCTCTACCTCCTTCCCAATAATCCTGTGTGGGCAGCCCTTGTCAATCTTTTCCTGCAAGGCCTTTCCAGCCCAGGAATTGCTGCTGAACCCTGGGCCACTTCCCCAGGCTTTCCCTGTAATGCTGTGTCTGGGGATTGCGTGTTCCGCCAACACTCAGACTTTCATTTTCCTCAGATGCCCCCAAGGGATTTCCATGAGAAAATCGTAGCAGCTGCTGACCCAGGTGATTTCAGAAGGGCAATTTGTTGTCAGGACAGATCTGGGGACGTTTCTGCCTTATACACATTATTAAAGCAAGAATTCCCAGGCCGAACAACACCCGGCCTGTTCAATCATTTAAGACCCTGAAATAATGATAAGTTTAAGGACAGATTATTCTCAGATGACACCAGCTCAGACAGTGCTGCCAAAGCCTCAGCTTTGGTTTAAACTCCCTTGGACCTGAGCAATCCTTGGATGTTGTGCAATTCCCTGACACAACAGCTCAGCTGCAAATCCCTGAACATCCCCAACTGCTCCTGGTTTCCACAGGGCTTGAAAACATTCCACAATCCTGAGGGGATGGAGCCAACCCCTGGGCCAGTGGTCAAGGTTTTACCTCTAAATGGCCCAGGTAGGATTCCACATTCTCCTTCAGCGTGGCCACACTGGATGCCACACACTGGAATCTCTCTTCCAGGTCGTCATATTCCTTGTCCTCAGTCTGGAAGGAAAGAGGCAGCTTGTCACCAGCGTGGCCAGGGCTGATGCCCATCACTGGCGGCACCTGCCTGGAGCTCACGGGGCTGGGACAGGCAGGGCAGACCCTGTGGGGCTCCATGAATCTGGAAAAGGGTGAAAACATCGGTGCAGGCAGCAACAAGGCTCTTGGTGTGGTCGTGGTGCTGGGGAGAACAGGGGTGTCTTTCCTTTTGCTGGGGGTATCCTGTAGGTCCTTTGGGGGCCAAAGTGGAGCCCAGCAATGCTCTGGGGTGGGGAGTGAGCATCCCTGCATCCCTGCATCCCTGCATCCCTGCTATCCCACAGGCCCTGATGGAGAACCAAGCACCAGCCACCCCACTCCACGCTGGCTCCCCATTCTGTTACTGAGGCACCTCAGGAGCAGCAAAACGCCCCAGAAACGCCCCAAGGAAGGGCAGCAGGTCCCGGGGTGGGGCAGGGGGTGAGGGCTGCCCACCTTGGCCACGATGCCGGCCTCGTGCATGAGGAGCCGGCTGAGGCGCGTGGTTTTCTTGGCGATGGAGTGGGTGTTGAGGCGCGCCAGGCGGTCCCGCAGCGTCAGGTGCTCGGCCTTGTTGTATTTGGTAGCTGCCTCGGGTGGGAGGAGGCAAAATAGGGAGGAGAAAAGATCAGAAGAGGAGACTTCACGGCTGAGCAGGCAGCAGAAGGTGAGCAGCACAGGGCTGATCAACAGGATAAGCACAAGCCACATCAAAGAAGGGAAAGACCAGGAAAATCAAAAAGCAGGGTGAGCTGCCATCTGTGGGGAGCCTGATTTCTCCTATCCCAAGAGCAGGACTGTTATTCCCTGCTCCCCTGCCCCAGGAATGTGGACAGACTGGTTTTGTCCTCAGCCCCCCCATGCCACCCTGCTCCTGCAGCCTTGGGGTCTTGCCCAGAGTGGCATTTACAGGACCAGAGCAGTTCCAGGAGCTGCCTGCACAGCCTGCAGCTCCACCAGGCAGGATTAAGTGGAGGGCAGGAGAGCTTTGAACTGATTTAAGTGGCCCAGGAGACCACAGGGGTTGGGCTGGGTGCTGTGCCCCACCTGCACCCAGCTCCTGGCCACTCACCCACTTCCCGGCGCCGCTTGTACTCGTTGATGTTGGCATTGACCTGGGCCATGGCACGAGCCGCTGCCTGCAGGGCTGAGTGGGCACTGGCACTGCTCGGGGTGTTCTCCAGGATCTTCCCCAGCAGCAGAGGGTATTTGGTGACCCTCTGCACGGGCATCACCAGGAAGAAGCTGAGGTCTGATGCGCCTGTGTGAGGCCTGATGGAGAGGGGGGATTGCTCAGGGTTGGTGCCTTCCTGCCCTGCTGCTCTCCACGGCTTCTCCGGGAGTGTTTTCAGCAGAGAGCAGGCCAGAAGTCATGGGGCATTTCTGGCTGTGAACCTCTGCTCTCCTCCAGCTGCAGGGGGACTGTGTCCCTGCCAGCCCCGAGGGCAGTGCCAGCCCTGGCTGGGTGTCCTGCCTCCCTGAGCAGCGCTGTGCTTGTCCAGCCCTGGGACACGGGATCAGCGCTTGCTCTGCGGGCAGCAGGGAGGGAGGTGCTGGCAGCGACTCCCTTCCCACCCACAGGGAAGGCATCTGTCTTTTGGGAATCATATTGCCTGTGTCCTAGGCAGCAAATGCCAGGAGCTCCTCCACTGCCGCTCCTGCTTCTCCTGGCTCTGACAGTGTTTGTGACCCTCTGAAAGTTTGGGTCCCCTAGGGCCAGCCTGTGTCTCTCCGGTCCATGTGCCCTCCCTGGGGAAGGCAGCAGCTGTGGATGTCACCCATCCCTTATTTTGGGTGAGATTCCATGATAAAAGATTATGAACCAAGGGTCTAGGACAGGCTGCCAGGGATTACACCAGAAAATGCCACAAAGGTGTTGGCTGTGCTGTGACACCCAGCCTGGTGACACAGATCCACGCAGGCAGCTTGTCCAGAGAGGAGAAGGGCAAAGGCAGGATGTGAAGCAGGGACAGGGAGGCGGTGGCTCAGCAGCAGGGACCTACACGGTGGCATTCAGGGTGTCCAGGATCTCCTCCTGCAGCCGGGGGTCCCTGCGGTAGCTCTCCACCAGCTGCAGGGCCTGGTCGTAGCTGGCACAGTAGATCTTGTAGACGGTCTCCATCTCTTCCTTGAACTCCTGGAACAGGGTGCCTGGGGAAGGAGAGAGGGGCTGGAGAGGAGGGTCCTTTCCTGTGGGCTCAGGGGTTTCTCCCCAGCCTGCTGGAAGGGTGAAGCCAGTGGAGCAATGCCAAGCGTGCCAGGGCAGGGCTCTGCCCCCCGGGCACCCTGCTAAGCTGGGCCTGGTGCTGCCCCCATGGCTGTCTGCAGGCTGGGCAGGTCAGCCAGGGGCAGGAGGTGTCAGGGCAGGGGGCTGGGCTGGCCCCCCACCCCACACACACAGAGTGGGCACAGGGCAGCCATTGGCACTGCACCACTTACTGATGCAGAGCAGCTGCTCCTGCCCCTGGCCCGCCGTGGCCTCCAGACCCTTCAGAAACCGTCTGGACACATGGAGGATGTCGTCGGTGTTAGAGAAGAGTCCTTCCAGGTCAAGCTCGGGCAGCTGAAGGGAACAAAGATGCCCCAGGCTAAGCCAAATACATCAGAGATGGAGCAGGTGTTTTAGAGGCACTCCTGGTGAGCTTCCAGCTGGCCCAGGGGACACCCTAGGAGCTGGAGTGATGCTCTGTCTCAGGAGGCTTTGGGAACGCTGAGACCTGTCTGGGCTCCCAAGGGAAAGCCATAGTGTGAAAGTCAGACCCAAGATCCATCCAGCCCCAGACCTTGGGGGAGCACAGGAAGGTGGAAGAAGCCCCTGCACTGATTTGGGCATCTCACAGCTCTGGACAGATTGACCCTCCAGTGCCCAGCCCCTGGGCAGGGGGAGGTGGCCCGTGTCACCTGCTTCTTCTGGAGGTGTGCCCGGATGTCCGACACGCAGAGCTGCATGTTGTGGACGTAGCTGGCCTCGGTGGTGATGAGCTCCTCCACAGCCAGGCGCTGGCTCAGCTCGGTCCTGTCGCAGGGCATCACCTCGTAGGTGGCCTCTTCAGCCTCAGCTGCCTCCTCAGAGTCGGGCTCTGCACTCGCCATCTCAGCAGGACACTGCAGGGGTGGCAAAGGCAGCCCTGGTGGCACCAGCTGCTCTGCTGCCCAGCTCGGTGCCCCTGCTCCCACCCCTGTGCCTGGCACACCCCACAGCACATCCCCAGGGACACTCAACCCATCTGCACTTAAGAGCACGCTCCAAAACCGTGGAGCCATGACGTGCTGGGAGGCAGGAGCAGGCTGGCTGCAGACACCCACGTGTGGCAGGCAGGGACCTGCCACACACGCGCCGACACTGCGGTGCCCACGTGTGGGGCTGGGGAGCAGGCAAAGGCCCCCAGGGCCTGGCAGCTGCCACCCAGCACTGGCACAGTGTAGGGACCCGTCCCCAGGGGCAGAGCAGGGTTTGTCACCTCCACTCCAGCTCCTGGCTGCCAGGGCCAGTTGTTCCCTCCCTGCCTTGACCGCTGGCGCCTTGCCTGGCATTCAGGGGTCCTGTCTGAAGTACAAAGAGCAGTTCTGCAGAGCTGGAACAAGAGATGTTTCTGTGACAGCAAGAGCTGCTCTAAAAGCCACTGGGACGGGGGGAGAAGAGGGCAGAGCTGCTGACGCCTCTGCCAGATGCACTGGTGGCCCCGGTAGGCAGTGCCAGGGCCCTGCGTGGCACAGCACGTGACACACTCTCCTCTCTGCTGTGGAAAATCCCAGCTGATTCCTGCCCATTCCTTCTCAGGAAACATGCTCTGCTCTGAGACCAGGGAGGATGAGCAGCTCCCAGAGCATCACAAACAGTGCTTGGCTCCTGGCAGGGAGGCCTTGAGAGCGAGAGGTGCAGCACAGCCCACAGCAGCACAGGCACAGCTGGGCTGGATCCATACCCCAGCCGGGGCAGGAATGCTGCCAGGCCTGCCTGCAGAGTGGGAGAGGAGCAAAGACAAGACAGAGGTGGCCTGGCAGGATAAAAATCAGATGGCACAAGCAGTGGCACAGACTGCCCTACCCTACCCGCCCAGCCAGTGCCAACCTCCACAGCCGGACTGCAACATGCCAGGTGCCACTTCAGAGGTGCAGCCCCTCTCCCTGTGGAGAGGGTCCAGCTCACAAGTGGCTGATGCAGCTGTGAGCCGTGGGCAGGGCCAATGCCCCTCCTGGCACACGCCACTGTGCTGGAGGAGAGCCGGGCTTGGCACAGCTTGGCACACTGTGCCACCCTGCCAGCTGTCATCCCTGCCCTCTGGGACGTGGCTGCCTCCCCTGCCTGTGGCATGGCATTGGCTGCCACGGCACATGGGGAGGAGAAGGCTTTTCTGCACCTCTGGGTGCCTGTGAGGTGTCCAGGCAGAAGGATTCCCATCAAAGGCTCTCAGGCAAACCCAGTGTCCTGGGCCTGGGGTGAGAGCAAAACCCCACTTCAGTGGAGGCAGGAGGAAAGCCCTGATCTCAGACACCCCCCTGAGCCCTGGAGGGGCACCCTGAAGCTCAGGACACGCCAGTATTGGGGTGTCCCTGGTCCCTGCAGCAGCATCCCCAGAACACAGAGCTGCTCTGGGGGGTTCCCCAGGCTGCGGGAACCTCACTGCCTCCCCTCACCCCCCTGGTCTGAGACCTCGGGGCACAAGGGTGCAGTGCAAAACTAAACTGCAGCATTTGTGGGCAGCTTGGAGCAGGCAGACAGCGCAGGAGCAGGTTTTGTTTTCCCAGCCTCCCCTTCCCAGGCAGCTTCCCGCATTTGAGCTGTCACTGCTGCCTCGGCGGCTACAGCATCCCTGTCCCCAAGGGGGGCTCCGGCCATCCCTGTCCCTAAGAGGGGGTCTGGAAACCCCTGTCCAAGGGGGGCTCCGGCCATCCCTGTCCCTAAAGGGGGCCCAACAGCATCCCTGTGCCCAGAGGGAGCTGAAGCCATCCCTGCCCGTAACGCAGAGACCGGCCCGGCCCTCCCCGACCCCCGCTCCCCGCGGGCCGACCCCCGCCGGCTCCGGGTCCGCAGCTCCCACCGCGCCCCAGGAGCGTCACCCCCGCTCCTCAGGCAGCCCAGGCTCTTCTCTGCCCCCCGAAGCCCCCGGGCCCGGCTCTCACCTGCGGGCCGGGCGGGGTTGCGCAGGTCGCCGAGCGCGGCCGCTGCTGCGGGCGCTGCCACCGCAGCCGCAGCGGGCGGGCACGGGGGGACACGGCCGGGCCGGGGATGATCCCGAGCAGGGAGATGATCCCGAGCAGGGGGATGATCCCGAGCAGGGCTGATCCCGCCCAGGGGGGCCCAGCCCCGCCGCCGGGCAGCCGCAGCCGGTCGGTGGCGGGCGGAGCGGGGCGGTCCCTGCGCACGGCCGGCGGGCGGGGGAGGCTGGCGGCCGGCCCGGCTGGCACCGGCTGGTCCCGAGCGCACCTCCCCCGGCACCGGGAACGGGAACGGGAACGGGAATAGCACCGGCACCGCTCCCATCAGCCAGAACAGCCGATACCCCGCTCTGTGTCCGCCCTCGGTGCCGCCCTCCATCCAACCCCCGGAGCACTGTGCGGCTGGAGGGCAGGGGACACACAGGGACACACCGGGAGAGCAGGGACACACATGGAGAGCAGGGACACACCGGGACACACAGGGAGGGCAGGGACACACCTCCTCGCCCCCAGCACGAATAGCAGGGACAGGTCCCCCGTGTCTCCCTGGCGCTGTTGTGGCTCCCATGTACAGCCCCAGCAATGCCCTGGTGTTCCCACAGCCCATCCGTGAACGCACGGGATTCCCGGTGTGTTATCCCAAGGTCTGGCGTGTCCCCGGCACTGCCCCTCTGCTGTCCCTTACCAGCTGCTCAGCCTCGGGAACGGGGGCAGAGAAAACAGAAATGAAAATATAACCGAGGAAGCGGTTCCCAAGATTAGGGCATGGGGAACCAGCGGCTACTTGGCATGAAGATAGTTATTTTTTTTTGCTTGGTGAGGTGTTTGCATCCTTATAAACAAGCTATTGAGAAGAGAGAGGCTGATCCCTTGTCCTGACCACAGGGAGGGGATGGCAGCACCGGGGTTTTTCCAGGCTGACCCACAGTGCAGAAAGTGTCACTGTGAAAAGGACTCTGAGTTTTTCAGTGACTCATGTAGGACAAGGCAGCGTCTGTGGCTGGATCCAAAACTCCCCACGGGCCAGGACAAGCTCTCTGGCAGTTCCAGCCCTTCCCCCTGAGTCCTTTTGTGGGACCTTTTCTGATATGGGCTGGACAGGGCACCACATGCACCTGCTGCACCGGCTCCCTGCCAGTGCTGGTGCCATCCTGTCCCCCTGCCCACATCTCATCCTGCCCAGGGAGAGCTTGGGTGCAGATCTTGGGGTCCCAAGCCAAGACCATGACTCTGGCAGGCTCTGTGTCTGGGGTAAAGCCCCCCCGGGCTGCTCTGTGCCACATGGGCTTGGGCAGTGTCCAAAGGGCTGGCACTGCTCTGATGCCCGGAGTTCTCAACTCCATCCTCGGGCAGGAGCTCTTACTGCTGTGTCCAGCAAAGCCATCAGGACACATCGCAGCTGCTTTGCTCCCATCAGCACATTGTGCATGATCCAGGACAGGAACCACGAGGGAATCCCGGCAGGGCAGAGCTCTCTCCTCCCCCGGCATCTTCATCCCACCGGGCAGGACCAACACCCCCAGCCCAGCTCCTCCCCGGCCAGCTCACACCACAGGTGCTCCCTCAGGCATATTTCCCATTCCAGCCCGCTTTTTCAGAGGCTGGATAGCCCGGCTCCAGCGAGTTCCTTGTAGGATGGGCTTGCTCTCCTTCCTGACAGCTCCTTCCCTCAGCACAAGCTGTTTCCTTCCTGTCCTGCTGCTGGCACCCCTGGGCTGGGGCTGGGGCTCCACTCGCCTCACCCGGGTGGCTCAGGGAGCACCGGGAGCAGTGTGACAGTGCTGTCACCGCTCCAGGGTTCCCCAGGAGCTGTGACACCAGCCTGCCTGCCCTGGCTCTCCTTACACGAGCAAAACAAACAGGCGCCGGCTGGTCGAGCAGGAGTGTTTGTGTGGCAGGGCTGTGCTCAGGTGAGGCCAAGCTGAAGTGTTCCAGCAGGATCCCCTGGCACCCAGCCGGGTGTGCTCCCACCCTGCCAGCACAGAGCTGTGGTGGGGAGTGGGATCTCCCGTGGGACCGTGTGTGGGATCACCGTGCAGGGAGGCAGGACTGGCTTCTCCTGCAGCAGAGCCAGTTGTGCAGCCCCATTGCAAAACTGCGAGGGTGAGCCACCTCCACGGCATTGCCCAGCCCTCTCCATGGCCACTGCCACAGCGGGACTGCTCTGCCAGCCCTTCTCTGGCAGCATTTCAGAAAAAACCCAACCCCAGGAGGCTGGTGGGATTTGATCCCCTGTGACACTCCTCGTGTGATGAGCACAGCCTCAGCCCAGGGGCTGGAGGAGCACCTGATGATGGTTCTGTGTTCTGGCTCAAAACAGGACATGGTGAAAGCCTCGGGAAGAGGGAGGTGGATGGGAGGCAGGAACATTCTGCCATCCAGGCAGAAGGCATCACCTCACCCTGGAAAGGGGTTATTTCCACCCTACATCTCACCCTGAGCTTGCCGGCTCCTGCAAAGCCTTTTGCTGTTTTGCCTTTTCCCAGCTACTCCAAACATGAATGCTCAGGATATTGGGATGAAAGCTAAAGCCATCAGGGGGCTCTCTGGGAACGCTCCAGACAAGCTTTGAGTTAAACAGGGCTTGCTCAGAAAATAAACACAGCTTCCAGCCATGCAAAGCACCACAGTTCAGGCTCTGCCTAATAACAGCAGGCGGGGTGGCTCCTCTCCCAGCAGCAGGTTTGTACAGGAAAGTTACATTTCCTCTATTTAATCTCTTCCATTCTTACTGTTCTTTGGATTTCTTTCCCGTCTAGAAAGGACCTGGTGACCACAGGATGGAAAGGAAAACACAGGGAGAAAAACAGCAGCTCAAGAATGTGCTCCCAGGTGCGTCCTAATCACAAAACTTCCTCCCACACAGCAGGGCTTGGAAGTGGACTTTGCCTGCAGCCCCACACTCTGTGCCGTGCAGCTCCAGCCACTGGAAAGGAGGAAAAAGCCTGTGAAATTAAAGGTTTTCATCCTGCTGAGCTTGCCACCAGCATGAGCAACTCCTGAAAAACCACAAGGATGTCATTCTTCCTCTTCCTTCTTCCTTTCCCAGCTAATGTGCTTAAGAGGGAAGGAGGGCAGTGCCTGCCTGCTCGGGATAATCCCATCCAGGTACTCAGCCAGGGCTCCCAGGCAGGTGGAAATGCTGTCAGCTCCAGGGGTCTGCACGGAGCTGCAGGCTCCAGCCACGCTCCTGCAGCATGAGGCAGAGCACAGCCTAAAAATAAGCAGATAGGATTTGATCTAGGCAGAGTAAATGAAGAGTCAGCTCTTTCCTTCCAAGAGGGTTATTTATGGGCCTCCTTCATGGAGGAGGTTTCAGCCCCTCTTGGCCTCTCTGAGGCTGCAGCAGCACAAACCTCCTGGATCCATGTTTTTGTGGTTGAAGTTTCACGTCCACCAGGGTCTGTGGCCCTTCCCTCTCCCCTCTGCTGCCCTGCCTTGCTTTTCCTACCCCAAGATCTAAATTTCTCTCCCAGGGCTGGTGACTCTGGGCCTTTCACCTATTTGTCACGAATCCCTGTAGCCAGCTGAGCCAGCTGGTGGTGACAACAGCTCAAGGAGAAAGCCAGAGGCTGGAGTGAGGGCACTGAATTCTGAGATATTTCTGTCCTGACAGAGGATCCTGCTCTCTCAGGACCAGCACGGAGAATGCCGAGGTGTGCGCAGTCCATGGGCACCTGAGCTGGAATGCAGGGAGAGATGGAGGTGTCTGCAGCATCCTGCAGCTCTGGGAGGAAGGACACATGTCTCCAGGCCAGTCCAGCTCCAGACAGGGCCACCACACCCTGTCACGGGGCAGTGCCAGTGACAAAACTCCTTGCAACCCATGGGGCACCCCACTGAGGACCTTCTGCCTGCAGCAAGGAGGTAACAAGACATGAGAAAAGAAGAGTTCAGAAAATTCTGGTGTTTTCTGCTGATTACTCATTTCCACTGATCCAATACTGATCTCCTCCCTGCCTGACTTTGTAGGATTCCTGCGCCTGCCGCGTCATCACAGCCACCCACCCGTGGAGCTGGAACTCCACTTGAGCTCCTCCTCCTCCTCCTCCTCCTCCCTGTGGGCACCCCACACACCCGGGCACCCCCTGCCCACGGCCACCCCTGGGTGCTGCCGCTCTCCTGAGCAAGGTGAGGGCGTGAGAAGCCGAGGGGAGGCACATCCCCTCGAGAATCACTGTATCCTTTGGGATCAGACACCTCTGGAGTCCCACCGGCTCCTCCAGACAAATTCCTGCAGGAGTGGATGTTCTGGAGTCACAGCAGTAGCTGCTGCCTGAGCAGGAGGAGCTGCAGGAGCTGACTTCTCTTGCTTCAGAGAGAAGTGAGGGGTGGCAGGGAGGTGAGAGCCCCCTCAAGCTGCAGAGCCAGTCCCTGTGCAGTGTTCCCATCCCTTTTTCCACTGACGGACCCAGGAGCGTGTCTCTGCCACAGGCAGGTGGGACAGGTGTCCCTTGGGAGAGCCACTGGGTGCTTGTTCCCCTGCTGGAGGCAGAAACCCACCCGTGGGGCTCAGCTGGGTCTCACAGCACGGGGAGGACACCTAAAACAAAGACCTGGCAGGTCACAGGCTCCAGGCTGTGCTGGGAGGGAGGGCAGGGCTGGGCAGCCCTGAGCTCTGTGCTACAGGCTGGGGAAGTTCACGGCCAAGAGCTTTTCCATGGGAGCAGCCTAATGCCTGGATCCCCCTTCAGTTTGGGGGACATAATCACCAGAGGCTTCAGAGAGCTGCGAATGGTGGGGCTGCCAGATGCCGAGGCTGAGGAAACAGGGAGATGTGGCTGAACAAAGCCAGGAGGGGTGAAAAGAGGTTGAGGTGGAAGGAGAGCTCCAGAGGGCCCTGGAGCCCCAGCAGCAGCAGCAGAGGGGATGCAGGGCCAGCTCACGGTGCTGCCCACACGTCCTCCTCTCCCCACCACGTCACGGCAGAGCAGGGAGGATGTTTAACTGGGAAGGAGTTCGTTGTGGTAAAACCCCAGCAGCTCATGCCATGGAATAGAAAATGATGGAATCCCAGTTCTGGTGGCGCTGAGGTCAGGCAGCTCAGCCTGGGGGCCAGGTACAGCTCAGAATCACCCAAACCTGTGGGGTTATCCCAGCTCTGGCAATGTGGAGCTTCCTGCCAAAGTGTCCAAGGTCACTCTGCCTGTCCACAGCTTCTGCTGGAAGCAGAGCTCCCCTGTGTGTCAGCAGCCATTGCTTCATGCCCTTCCCTCCAGCCACAGGACGGCTGCAGTGTCAGAGGGATGTCTCCATTTTTAATGTGTCTCCATTATTAATGAGATTCCAGCTCTTGCAAGACTGGAATCAGGCAGGAATTCCTGACTCACCAGCCTACACCCCAGCTCCAGGCCTCGTCCCCAGGCCATGCTGGTGACAGCCACCAGCTTTGACACCCTCTGCCAAGCCTGGCTCCTGCTCTTGGCCAAGGGCGAGCACGGGGCCATCCTGCAAGGATTGGGGAAGGAAACCTGGTTTGTGAGATGTCCAGCCAAGCCTCCCACCAGAGCCCCTCAGGGACATGGGAGGGAGAGAGGAAAAACCTGCCAGGCAGAGCAGTTGTTACAGGAAAGGAAGGGCTGAAATAAAGGGTTTGTTTTCACAGCTAAGGGATGTTACCTAAGGAACATTGAGTGTGTCCAAAAATTATCTGGAAAAGGGCAGGGCCAGCAAAGTGGCCGTGTTTGGCACCAACACCGAGCTCTTTGGAGCCGCTGGGTTCAAGTCCCTGAGCAGGGGACTGCAAGGCAGCCAAGGGAACTCAGGAAAAGGCAAGGAAAACACATAAAAACCAGTCCTAACACTGGTAGCCCAGTGATAGACTCTGACTGGTGCATCTCCTCCCAGAAAGGGAGCCTGGGGGTCGTGCTAAATGATGCTTCCCAAATTCCTGGAGCAGAGAAAGCAGAAAATTGAATGTTGGAAATGAGCAGGGAAGAAGCAGAGGATGAGAAGGGAAGCACTGGCTCTGTGTGAGCTGGTGATGTGCCCACGCTGAGGATGCTGCCTGCAGCTCTCCTCGCTTCCTCATCTCCAGAGGGATGTGGAAGAGGCTCAGAGAAGGGAAGCAGGGATGCCCCAAGCTCTGCAGGAGCCTCTGCACGAGGAATGGCACTGTGGCCAGGAGAAGGGATGAGGGAGAGGGGTGTGATGCAGATCTGCCCTGCCCTGGGAGGCGTGTGAGGGCAGGAGGGGGATTACTCACCAGCTCTGCCACTGCAGAGTACAGGCTCCAAATGAAACTACCTGGAGGGAAGTTTGGGACAAGGAAAAGGATGTGGTTCTTGGTGCAATGCGTAGTTAAAGCGTGGAGCTCCTCGCCACAGGATGTGACAGATGCAAAGCATTTAAACAGGAACTGGATGAATTCATGGAAGAAAAATCCTTTGGGTTATTAAAGACAAAGAGCCACCACCTCTTCCTTAAGGCTGGAGGTCTTGGGGGAGCTCAGGGGCTATTCTTGGGACAAGAACACTGCAAACATCTGCTGTGGGCCACAGCTAGAGCCAGAGTATGGGTGAGCTGTCACATGGCTCTCACGTGAGAGAGATGGAAGGATCTCATGTCCTGAGATGGAAGCAGAGATCAGGAGCTCCCTGGGAGCGTGGCACACCACTTCCTCACCCAGGGAATGCTGTCACCTGTCACACCCCAAGGCAGGTCCACCCTCGTGTCAACACTGAGCACTCCTTGCTTCCCTTCTGGACTGAGACATTTTTGACTCTCTGCGGAGGGGAGGCAGGCCCCACATGTCTGAATTTTCTTGGGAAGTTTCAAAGTGAAAATTCTGCTCAAGTGATGGCAGGTGGGATCCCAGGCCTGGGAGTGTGGCTCCACCAGCCCAGGGAACATTGTTCAGTCACCACACACTGTGTGTCCCTCTGGAGGCAGGGTCACAGGACACCTTGGGACTGCCTCACTTCGGGGAGAGGAGATTGGGCCTGAGTCACACGAGATTTTGATCAGCTCCCCAGGTACCAGTGGGGTTTGTACTGGGCCAGCAGAACCCTAATGGGGGTGAGGTGTCCTTGCTGGGTGACATTTCTGTGCCAGGCAGCAGCCAGCACCTCTCAGCCCCACAGGAGCTGCTCAGGAAGGAGTGTGGGTATGAGAGCTCACACAGTGACAAATAATCCTGCCTGTATTTTCAGCCAGTCTCAGTCCAGGACAGTGACCAGCAGAGCTGTGCTCCCATCATGAAGCCAAATCTGCTCCCTCCAGCTCTGTCCCTGCCAGGACCTGCTCCCCTGAGCAGAGGACGATGCAGAGGGAGCCTGTGCTGTGTGTGCTGGAGCTGCAGTGGTGCAAGCAGGAGGGAGGTTCATCCTTGGCCGCTGCTGCTCCCAGATTTGCATTCTGGGTGTCCTTGGAGCACTTCTGCTGCTTCCCAGGGCTGTCCCTCTGATCAACACAAGCTGCCTTGTGCCACAGGGCCCCAGCCCAGCTGTCCCCACAGGGTCTCAGAGCCAGTTCTGGGGCTGAAGCTGGATGTCCCCGTCTGGTGGCCATGAGACCCCACAGAGCCACTCCTGGGGTGCCTTAGTGAGGGCTGGAGTGCCCAACGTGGACAAGACTGCAAAGCCTGGCCCTGCTCTGTGCTGAGCTGCTGATCATTAGTGCTGAAACTCGCTGAGGGCCCATCAGTGAAGGAGCCCTTGGCAGAGCTCGTTCCCAAGTGCATCCAGGCGGGACAGCTCGTTCCCTCTTCACCTGCTTGTTCTGCTCCTCAGGCCCTGAAGTGGGACCCACACGTCCTGGCTGCTGCTCCAGAGGGGTGCTGGGGCAGGGCCTTGTGCATCAAGGGCTTGATTGATTCATTAGTGATATTTCCAGTGCTGGGCTGACAATAACATGTGATGAGCCTTTCCCCTTATCTGGCACTTTCCACCCTGTGCTCTTCCCAAACGCAAATGAACCGGAGCTCGTGATGATCTTTGGAGGAGGGGAGAGAAAAAAATTCAGGCATAATCAAACAGCATCTCTCAGCCCATTGTTGGGCTTTTTTTAATCTCAGCAAGCATCAGCTTTTGAATGACCTGAAAAGCTCATCCATTGAGTAGAGAAGATGTTTGGGCAGGAAGGAACTTGCTTTAAAAAAAAATTGGACGGGTCTGTAATGTCCTGACAAGGGGAGCCCAGCCTCTGCTCCAGCTCCGTGTAATTTCTCCCCTGATGTGTAAAGAGATCCAGAGCACCCCAAAAAGGTGATGGTGCCACTGGGACAGACTGTGCTTAGCTGGCTCCTGCCACTGGGGAGCAGCAATGTCCAGCCAGATCCTGCACTGGGACCAGCAGCAGACACTGCACCAGCTGCTTTTGTTCCTCTTATCCTCCCTGGCACCCTAAACCACAGCACAGGACATGTATAAAACCCATGTTCCCTAATATGTTCAAGAAATAGCACTTAGGAGGATGATTTACTCCCAGGTGTATCAGCTGTCTTCCAGCACCTGAATTATTTTGTGTTAGAGCAGACTCACCTCAGTGATTTGAACCTGTCTGATTTAAGCAGCCACAGAGGAAATGTGCCTTGGCTGCCAAACACCAGAACTCTGCACACCAGCAGGGTAATTAATTCAAAAGCACCAGAGAAGCTGCTGCTGAACACTTCTCCACAGCACTTGACATGCAGTGAATCAGCTGTGCTGCCATTTACATCTTTTTGGGCCCATGACTTCTTCAGGCTCTCTTTCCTCACCTCCCAGTGCATCCTCTCAAGCACTCAAAGCAATTTCAACCCTGGCATCACTGGGAAGTTTGGGCCTCAGCTCCACACTGTCTGGAGGAAAGTCTTCCAAGGAACAATTTCATTGGTGGAGCTTCAGCCGTGCACT